CCAGAAGAGTAGCTAGGCCACTTGGCACCCAGGGCAGAAATCTATGTTGGCAACAGATGCGCGCGTGCACACACATACTTAACAGTCACACACTGAAAGTAAATTTGGGATAAATGCTGGGAAGGAGGTAAACTGTTTTTTTTCCATGGGTGGTTTATTTTCTAGCACGTTCCCTACATGCTGTCTCTACCTTGCAATTGTCACTGATTGGAGAAATTTCCTAAGCAGGGCAATCTTCCATCGTTGTGGTGACATGCTCATTCAGTGGAAGCACATCTGAAATGTCAATACAATACTTTCATGCTAAAAGAGTAATCACAGCAACTACAACCAATGCATAGTATTAGCTGTGATGGAGTGCAGGAGGACCACTTGGAGGAGTGTTAACACAGTTTTCGGAGGAATGAGATATTGCTTTTGTTCCAGTTAAGTGTAATTACTGCTGATGCTGAGATCGGTCTATCTAACCATAAACAAGCTTCTCCAACCATATGGGGCTATGCAATGTAATACAAGGACCATACAAACTGAACCTCGACTGACTGAAATTTAAGTACCTGATACATCTGTAGCTTGAGAAAGACTGCATTGGGAGTCAAAACGTTGCAGTGTTCCGCATGTTCTCATAAAGGTGCCTGAAGATATTGGAGTGCCTGGACCCTTTTTCTAATACTAGTATAAAATATATCTGTTGTCAGCCCAAACTGCACACCGGCAATGGGTGTATTAAGTTCTGCGTGCAAAGGAAGAATGGATGTCTCCTCGCTCCTTCCCACCTTTCTTTTGTGGAGCCCTCCCCACCTCCCAATCAATGCAGTTTTTTTGTTTTTTTTATTATATTTTCTCCTCCCTCCCTGTTTCCCTCTCCACTCCTTCTCCCCATTAGAGTGTGTGCATGCGTTCTGAGCAGGTTAAATGGTCAAATCATAGGTTTCTCCATGAGAAGCTTGTGATTATACATTACATGAATGATGTGGCGTCATGAGGGTGCCAAAGGTTTTGCCTGGCAAAGGAATCCATTTCTAGCGAAAGTATGCCCAATAAGGCATTATTCATTAAGTTTAAAAAGGCAATTTAGATGGTTGGAGTAACCCTCTAACTGGATTGCTTTTTAGTTAATGAGCCAGGGTGCCCCTAGTTACAATATTTGTTCCTTCCTATTGAGCTCTGGCTAAACCTTTAACATAACAACAAGGTGCGCTGCATTGAAGATTTGGACTCTGGCTTATGAACATTCATTAACCTCAGTTATTTGGCAAAGTGCCATTCCTGGCTGCCCCTGACTACAGACACAGCATTCTATTACAGACCAAAGCTTGGTATTTTGTCTGGAATTAGCTCAAAGTGAGGAACACCATAATCTAAACGTTTATAGATAGAGGGAAGGAATTAGATTTGCAGTCAAAGAGAGGGAATGCCAGCAGGTGTGTTGCTTGGGTAAAAAAAAACCATTGCTTTACATCGAAAATAATTTTTCACCGACAAATTACACACAGACACAGACATACACACACAGGCACAGACAGGCACACAGTCCCATATATGCATAGGCACGTACACACAGACAAGCAAAAACAGGAACATACAGACACATGCAGGTTCACACAGTCATAGAGAGACAAAGACAGACACACATGATCAAACACATCCATATACATATACAAAAATGATGGCCCAGTAATTTGGAGGTTGTTTAAGAGGAAGACAGACTCAGCCCTCTAAAACAGGGCTTCCCAAACTTTTATGGGCTGAGACTCACCTTTCAAAATGCTAATTTTTCTAGACCCACTTGCTTTTAATGCATATTTTAGAAAGTGAACACCATGGCAATAAGCTTTGGAGGCATACAATTGGCACACCATAGGAATCCGCTTTAGATGCACACAATTGACACACCATGACAATTACTTTTAGAGAAATAAAATTGGCACACCATGGCAAACAGCTTTATAAGCATACACAGGGGCGGACTGACCGGTCGGGCACTTCGTTTCATGCTGTAGCCGCCGGACCGG